GGGTTCGGAGGGGAGGGGCAGGGGGGGTACTCCCGCCACACTGGGGGCGGGCAGCAGGAGGGGGCCGCTGCCTCCGTTACTCACAGGGCTGCCGGGGCCCCCATCCAGTGCCGCCCGCACACGCCTGCCCGACGAGCGTCCCAGCGAGCTGCTCAGCTTGCTGGCCAGCTTCTTGGGCGTGCTGCCCAGCGCGGAGTCCTCCTCCAGCCCCGCGCTGAACAGCTCCACCTTCAGTTCAAAGTCAGGGCCGGCCTCCGTGCTGTGGGGGTGCCGGCATCAGGATGGGGGCTGAGGACGTGCTGCACCCCCCCAGAGACCCCCGCGCCACCACGGTCCTGGCTGGAGGGTCTCGCCCCTGTGCTCAGGCTCAGCCCCACGCTGCACTGAGGCAGGAAGGGATTTCCCTCTGCTCAGCCTCCCCCCAACTGAGGGGTTTTGCCCTCCTCTGCAACATGGGAACAGCCTGCAGCGAGGTCACCCAGGCCCAGAGCTGCTCTGACGGGGCCAAACCCCCTGGGCCTCCCCAGAGCCGCAGACTGGGGATCGTCCCTGGAGCCCATCCCCGTCCCAGGAGCCAACGCTGGCAGGCGGCATGTCCCGGGAGCGCGTGGTTCTGCCGGGCACCAGGGCAGCACATGGAGCCCCCAGCCCCAGAGCCACCTTGCTGGGGCCCGCAGGAGCGGGGCCCAGGCCTGACTCTCAGCCGTGGGGGGAGGGAGGGCTGCAGGGAAGCCCACGTGGGGCGTTGAGGATGGCGAGCGCCGCAGGGAGCATGCAGCTCCGTGCACCCGGCGCGGGGCACGAGCTGTGCCAGCTCCAGCAGGGTGTGCTGTGGGGCGTGGGGCAGGGGTCCTGGGCTCTGGGGGAGCCCCCAGTGATCCCTGCCCAGGGGCACTGCAGCAGTGGGGGCCGGGGGCACTTACAAGAGGACCCCGTTGTCGAAGCAGATGTCGGTGAGCGTGCGGTCCACCAGCACCATCTCGGTGTCGTAGATCTCCACGCCGATCTGCAGCAGGCAGAACACGGCGCAGCGGTGCAGGTCTGCGCGGGCACAGAACATGCCAGCGTCACGCCTGGCCCCACGGCCCCCCGGCCCGACCCCCCCGCCCCGCGCTCACCTCCCTTGTTCTTAAAATACTCCGTGTCCTTCCACATCAGGGGGATCCGGAGGTCTGGGGGAGGGAAGCCAGCAGTGAGTGGGGATGAACGGGGGCCACGAGGCGCGGCCCAGGGGGCACCGAGCATGTACGAGCCGGTAGAGACTGGCTGGGGCCTCATACGGGGCGGGCAAGCCCGCCGTGAGGGG